AAGATTTCAAAAGCAAAATGATCACCCTCACACTGCATTTTGCCCACTGATTGATCGTGTTGTATACTAGATAGACATAAAAGAAAGGATGATCTTGAGATACTCCATAAAAGAATTAAGAATAATTAATTGGTATAATCATCCAGGCTGAGTGGCTTATAGTAGGCTCCCACAGTGACGTCCACTTTAGTTCTTTGTCCCTTCATTCATACCCAGAGGCTTTCAACCATGCCATTACTAACTGCAAGCTCCATTCCATCCACCCACCAGTACCAGTATCATCAGCAACCCCATCCCATCTCACTTGCCCTGCATCTCCAATCTGGAAGAGCCCAGAGCCATCCATCACACCCAGCACACCCGTCACAGGACAGTTCCCACCACGTCTCACTCATGCTGATGATGCTGCAGCACACAGGGCCTCCAACTTTGGATGCCAATGTGAAAAACCAATAACGCATAACAGCCTTGCACATGGGCACCTGGGGGCTGGTTGTTCCCTTGGGAGCTGTGTCTGTGGCTGTGTTGATTCCATGAGTGCAGAGGTGACCTATGACATAGCTCTCTGCGGGGTGGATGCAAGTACTGGTAGAATTCACCAAGACAAAGCCTCCCAAGTGAACATCCAACCTGAGAATGGAAGTTCCCCTTCTTCCTCCCCAGAATTCCACAACCACAAGCAATACAAACCAGTGTAATATCTGAAACAATCCTGTTACTGCAGTCACAACTCTGCAGAGACTCATGTCTGCAACAGAAGGACTTTCCCCAGAGCAGAGGGAAAGCAGGGGAGTTCAGAAGCACATGAGTTTTCTAACTCTTAATGCAATTAAAAATGATGTGTGACAAACCATGGGGAGAAATTCACCATTAAAATGATTCTTTCAGGAAAAAATTATGGAAAAACAGCTTCACTGGCTCACCAAAATCAACCTCCACTTCCTGCCAACTGCATTCTAGCACATCAGCTTTAGCTGAGCACAGCAAATGAGAAGGCCCTCCTGCAGGAGGTCTCGCACACAACTTCCAAGGTGAAAAACCTTAAAGCTCAAAAGGGATCACTTGCAAGGCAAGCATGCACTGGAGAGCACTCTGGTATCTATGTGCTGTGGGGATGAGCTGCTGGCAAACCATGTGGATTTGCACTGCCTTCTGCTCCCACCACTTCCAGACAATTGGGAAGGTGCATTTAGGAAGAACAAGCTCAGCTTTTTCTACTTTTATTGAAGACAACCAAGACTTGAAGTCACACAGCTGCGCTGACCAGCTGATTAAAGCATTTGAGAAGAGCAGTAGAAGCAATGTGCAGCACGGTTAGGAAGGATGATAGGATTGTATGAACAAAACGTCTTCTACAGAAGCAAGCACAGGTCTGGAGGAGGCACACAAACCAAATCCTGCTTGCACCTTTCCTTCTCCTCATTCCACATGCTGACATTCATTGTAAGAACAACAAACAAGACTACACTGAAGAAAGATTCAGAACAATTCAGCTTCTTTATTCACCCTCTACGCCTTCCACTACAGGTGATTCTCAGAAAACCTCCAACAGCCACGTTACTGCTCTCCTGACCCTTCTCTCAGGTTCATCAGTGCACTCACAAATTACTGAGAGCAACACATGCACACAGACACACAGAACATCCCTGCACAGCTGCTTCTCCTTAGGAAACGGCATCAAAAAGCTGCTGGCAGGAAGAGCAGAAGAAACCGGGCATGGTGAGAGAACTGCTCTGGGTAGCAAGGAAAGGCCATCTGAAGCTCCTGGGTTAAGTCCCTTCTGCAGAGGGTGCCAGTCGTGCACCAGGAACACTTGTAGGGTCAGTGAGGAACTCTGCCCTCTGCACAAAGCCCTTCTCACATGCGAGGCATTTCTAAGGCTTCCTGCCATGTGAACTCACTGGACTTCACCCAAGTGCAGACACTCTGGTAGCTCAGCAGGTTTGAGGTGTGGCCAAAACTCTTCTTGCAGGCTGCACATTTGTAGGGTTCCTCATGTGAATCCACAGGTGTGTGTTGAGCTCCCAGCTCTGGACACACCTCTTCCTGCAGTCAAGGCACTCACTGGGACTCTCCACTGGTTGGTTCTCTGGGATCTACTGAGGGTTGAGCTCCAGATGAAGCTCTTCCCACACAGCCTGCAGACAGGATTTCTTCCTTCCTGCTGACATATCAGCCCAGCTGAGGTTTCCTTTGGGTCCTCACCTGCTGCCCCACAGCACAGGAGTTTCTACGGGGGAGGTAAAAGGTGACTCTCCTTGCACACAGCCCTGGCAGAAACGTGCCACCTGGCAGAACTTTTTGAGTGGCTGTGACACATCTCACTCTGGATTCTCCTCTGTATGGCCACTCAACACAGCAACTGCAGCTGAAGGAGAGCAATGTGCAGAATTCTCATGCAAAGAAGGAGAAAGAGGATTTAGATTGGCCGCAGAGCTTTTCCTCTGCTCAAGGGATTTGTAAGGTTCATCACTACACAAATCCATAGTTGGCCACCAGGCTGGGGCTCTGCCTGAAGCTCTTCCCACGTTATGGGCTCTGCAGGCTCTGTGTCTTGTGTGGCTCTGCTGGTAGGTAATGAGGCTGGAACTGCTTCTGAAGGTTCCCAAAGTTTTGAGGTGCTTCTACAGCCTGTGTGCGGTATGGATGCGCTTGTGGGTGTTGAGATTAGACTTGCGTGTAAAGCTCTTCCCACACTCAGGGCACTTGTAGGGTTTCTCCCCTGTGTGGAAGCGCTGGTGTTGCTTCAATGCACAACTCCTTTTGAAGCTCTTCCCACACTCAGAGCACTTGTAAGGTCTCTCTCCTGTGTGGATGCGCTGGTGCCGCTTCAGTTCAGAACTGCTTTTGAAGCTCTTCCCACACTCAGAGCACTTGTAGGGTCTCTCTCCTGTGTGGAAGCGCTCGTGGCGCTTCAAGTCAGAACTGCTTTTATAGCTCTTCCCACACTCACGACACTGAAACGGTTTCTCTCCTGTGTGGATGCGCAGGTGGTAGATGAGCTGGGAACGGCTTTTTACGGCCTTCCCACACTCACAGCACTTGTAGGATCTCTCCTCTGAGTGGAAGAGTTTGTGGCTCTTCAAATGAGAACTGCTTTTGTAGCTCTTGCCACACTCAGAGCACTTGTAGGGTCTCTCTCCTGTGTGGATGCGTTGGTGGTAGGTGAGATGGGATCTCCATCTGAAGCTCTTCCCACAATCACAGCACTTGTATGCACTCATTGCTGAGCGTACACACTGGTGGTTAACGATGCTGGAATCTTTTTCAAAGCTGTTTCCACACTCTGTGCATGGATTCTGCTTTTCCTTCTGGCACACATCCTTGCTCCCGGGATCTTCACGCTCCTTCTGACCTATGTTCACGTCCAGTGGGCTCCTTCCTTTCTCTTGCAGACACTTTCCCAGTGGCATCGTGGTGATGTGCTCTGCCTGACCTTGCTCCAGGCCTCCTTGGACATCCCTTCTGATTTCTTCCACACAGACACCACCCCACCGCCTTTTGGCCACACCACTTTCCTGCAGATCCTCCAGTAGATCTGTAACCCCAGTTCCTGCTGGATGAAGGAGGAAATCCAGAAATAGCACACAGTGCCCAAAATAAAACACACACAGAGATGGCTCTTCCAGCCCCAACCTCCTCCTTCCCTCCACCACCTCACCTGGGCTGAGGTCTCCTGGCACGGCCTCAGGGCTACGCACATCTGGGATCCAGGGCTCTTCCCCTCCTTCAAGCAGGGAGATCAGCACTGGTCTGGGGGCTGGAAGTGGAGCTTCAAGCAGAGAAACAGGCGAGATGAGAACATTTCCATCATTCTGGCACAGTGCCTGTTCAACAGCTCTACTCTGTGTCCCTCCCCAGGGAGAAAACACACTTTGGGCACGAATGACACTGGGCCCACAGCTTCCTTTGGAGCAAAGAACGCTTTTACAACTCTGAAAATTAGGAAGGGATATTCTCTTTAAAATTCACTTGTGAACGGCTTGTTTATTTTCTGACAATATATCAGTGATCAAGGCATCAAAATGTCAACGGCAAGTGAATGGAAAATCCTACACTGTAAAGGAGTAAGCAGGGAGTCATCTGTGAGCTGCAGCTGGTGGCACAATATAAAGCCCCAATGGAAGGGCTGGTTCTCTCCCTCCTGGCTGATGCCTGCTTGCCAGCACTGACTCTGGGGCGTTTGTGAGCCTGCTGTGCATCCTAATCCCTTCTGAAACTCATGCTTCTCAGCTTTTCCTTTGCTGCTGTTGTAGTTATCAATATGGAACTGCATGGTGATCATTCAAGGCCCGGCCTGCAGAGGCTCCTTCTGCACAGCCAAAGGTGCCCTAACGAGGAGGAAAGGCAGCAAAGCCCTCACCCAGCGAGGCCACGCACTGGTACGTCTCCAGCATCACGTCCCGGTACAGCGCTCGCTGCGCAGGGTCCAGCAGCGCCCACTCCTCCCTGCTGAAATACACGGCCACCTCCGCAAAGCTCACGGGCTCCTGCAAGCAAAGAGGCTCCTTGCTGGGAACAGCCAAGGCCCAGGGAAGCAGCTCAAACAGGACACAAACTCCCGTCCCAGCCGCTTCTCTGGCCCCAGCACACACACGCTGCCTGAGGCCACCTCCCTCTCCCCCTGCATTCACATCCCTCGCCCCTTGGCCTCTCCTGCCTGCTTCCCCCAGCCCCTACCTGACATGGATGTGCTGTGGCCATCTGTGGCTCTCCTGCAGGTGAGATGATCACAGCTGGAAGGCAGAAGTTGAACCAGAGCCTGCAGGGACAAGGGAAATGCCAGGGGAGCTGTGAGGGAATGCAGCAGTCCCTGTCCCAGCCCAGCCCTCCACAGCCCATCTGCAGGGCACTGCCTGGGGGATGGCAACAAGAGGCCTTGCACAGGAAGACAATCAGCAACAGCACTGGTAACACTCTGGCTAAAGCTGATTACAAATCACAAAGCTCACTCAAACAGGGACTTAAAACAATGCATGGCAATGAGTCACTCCTCTTACCCCTAAACAGGGTGCAGCGCAAGCGCCCCTCGAGCTCTACTGCACAGCAATGGGCCGAACTACAGGATCTTCCCACAAGCAGGGATGTCTCTCAAGGTCACAGCTGTACAGAGATCCCTTTCAGCTTGCTGTCAAGACACCTTGCCGACACAGATCTTCTGTAAGAGGTGCAAGGTTAGTTTGGAAATTCATGAGCATCTCTATAGTTATGTGTTACAGTGATGATTTCAAGGTAATCACAGAATCATACAATAGCCTGGGTTGAAAAGGACCACAATGAACAACTAGTTTCAACCCCTCGCTATGTGCAGGAATGCCATCCACCACATTGGCCAGCCCTGAGCCACGTCCACCTGCTCTCGAATACCCCAAAGGATTGGGCATCCATGTCCTCTGTGGGTGACCTTTTCAAGTCCCTCTCCGCCCTCTGAATGCAAAACTTCCTCCTGCTATCTAACCTAAGTCGCCCCGGCTCAATTTAAAACCATTCCCCCTCGTCCTGCCACTATCCACCCACGTAAGCTGTCGTTCTTCCTCCACTTTATGCGTTTCCTTCAAGTCCCGGAAGGCCACCACGAGCTCTGCCCAGACCCTTCTCTTCTCCAAGCCAAAAAATCCCAGTTCCCCCATTGCACCAAGAATGCCGCGGCGGATGCGTTTCCCTCCTCGCCCACCTGGGGACGCTGCTTCCCATTCAGCTCCGCACGCACACCGCGCTCGCTTCCCGGGGACCTTCTCAGCACCGTGCGCCCTTTGCACGACGCAGCCTGGGCTGCACTTTGCTGACGTGCAGCTCGGGCGCGTTCTCAACGTGAGCTGCAGTCAGCCCACAGACCGCCACCTTTTCAGCGTCTATTGCACAGCCCAGTGCCGGACCTGCTGCAGATGCTGGACGTGCTCAGGGCCCGCACCTGTGCGCTAAAGGCATCTGCAGCTGCCGGGACAGCCTGAACAAAAGCCTTGGCAGGGGTTTGCACGATCCCAGGTGAGCCATCAGCCCAGCGCTAAGCGCACAAAAAGTAACCCTGAAAGGGCCGCTAGAGGCAGATGCTGCCTGCTGGGTCCCCGAAGGGAAACTGCGGGCTGCCGGCGAGGGAGAAGGGACTTGAAATTCCCCCCTTGGAGGCTTCGCATTCAGACGCTCAAAAGGAGGCATCGGGGAGTTCAAAACTTCCATCAATCCTTGCGTGCAGAGCTGCGGAGCGAGGCCATCTCGTGTCTCCCGTGGCCCAGAGGGAGAAACGCAGTCGAGCTGCGCTGTGTTCCAGAGAGCCAACCGGGCAGCAGAGCACGTTGAGCTGCTGTGCTCACTTCCCCGCTGTCCCAGCTCCAACCCCTTCCTGCGCCCCTCGGAGCCCAAGCCGGGCTGCAACACGCCTGGGAACCGCTGCTCCCTCGTTGCAGCCCGTCTGGCCCAGCAAACCCGCTGTGCTGGGCGGGAGCTGCAGCCGGGACGGGGCTCCGGCCTGCTCTACAGCGGTGCCGCTTCCGCCCCGCTCCCCGCTCGCCTCCCGCTGCTGCTGGCAGGGGGCAGGAAATGTGCGCTCCTCTGCCCCAGCCGCGAAGGGCTCCTACCTCGGGTGCGGAGCAGGCTGCTCCCGCCTCTGGTGCAGGCAACCGGGCTCCTGGGAGTCGCGGAGAGCAGAGGATGCCGAGTGCCCTCAGCCCGGAGCTGGCCGCAGCACGGCCTCGCTGCTCCTCCTGCCTCCGCGGTGCTGCCCGGATGGCTTCCGGCCAGGCTCTGGCCGCTTCGGCACAGCCTCAGGTGCCGGGCAGCAATTCCCACAGCGAGCACGCCCCGAGCCGGCTGCCGGGCCTCGGGCAGTTTCACAGCTCGTTCTCCTGGCACATCTGCACCCGGGGAAGGGAGGGATGGGGGCTGCGTTTTGTTACGCTAATGAAGCGTCGCTGTCTGCTGGGTCTCTTTGCTTCCTTTGCTGGAGACATTCGCACAGCCTTGTGGTCACACGTCCCCACGTTGCTGTCCTGGCGTTCCTTTCACTCCCCTCACCGCGAGCAGCTCCCAGCAAGAGGCAATCTCCGGCTGCCTGCTCTCGAGGGCAGCATCTCCCTGCAGCTGGCTCACTTGCTCACTGAGCGCTGCCCGTGGCACTGATGTCACGTTTCTACTCGCTGAGCAAGTGAGTTCTATTTCCAACAACTTCCTATCCTGCTTTCTCAATTCGGTCTTCTGTGCAAGGCATGAGCATGGTTAAGCTGTCTGCTGTACGAGGGCCGGCTCTGCTAAAAACTCTCGAGACCCACACATCCACTGTGGGGCAGAGAAAGAGGCCTATGTGGAGGTGAAGGAGTGAGGTTGCTCCCCTCGAAGGTGGACCCACGGCTATAAGTTGGGTGATGGCTATCAGTGTGGGAGCACACTTCTCGGGAGCAAGGTCCCACTGGGGGAGGTATCTCGAGAATTCCAAGAACCTCACAGGTGAAATCTTGCAAGGCACCCTGTGAGTGAGGCTATAATGTGCTTGGGAATGTAGGCTTTGTAATACTTTGGAAAATCATTACAACAAAAATGTATCTGGGGGCGTTTGCAGTTAGCTGCCAGGAAGGGGCCTGGTAGGATCATGTGATGAGTAAATGTCCAAACTGTTTTTTCATTGTCATTATCCTCGTGATTGTTAAGTGTATCTGTTATAAAATTATTGCTTGTGGAATTCCACATACAATAAAAGTGCTCTTGTTGCTGGGAGACGTTGGTTTTAGCTCTTGCCCAGGGAATTCGGTGTTCCCGTGCCGTCCATTACCCAGAAAGGGAGACTTTATAAGCTGCTGCTGTCTGGTGTGAATGCTAAATATTGGATCAAAGGCGAGTGGTGTGAATGTGGGAATGGAGTTTAACTGGATAGTTGCTTAAGCCTGTATTTGTTATCTGAGGCTTGACCTGTAGTCCTGTCCAGGAATTACTGTGGAATAGAGGAAACTGGCATTTTGGTTGGTGTTGTGGACTGGGGTTTAAAGAGGAATATGCATTTGGTCACACTAACGTGGTAGCTATGAGGTGTGGACTTTGGGGAACAACAAAGAATCAATGAAATTGAGTATGGAGGAGCACGGGGAAAGTTCCGAGGCAACCCTCACTTCAGGTATTTCTGGGGAGCCTGAGGACCCTGTGAGAAATTAATGGTGGTTGGAAGCTGATGACCACTTAGCAGTTAATAGTGTTCTTGTGAAGGCAGGAGATGAGCCTGTCTTCGCATTTGGGGGGTCCTGTTTAACCCAAACCAGCTGAGCTACTCCTAAGGCTGAGATAAGGGCTCTCAAGGTATCCTGTACTATACCTTACCAGTGGGTTATTTACCCTTTGAACCCTTCTTGGATTTTGATACTGGCTCCAAACAGTTCTCACTATGCCTGGTGGGAGTTTGAGCTGCCCCATCTCTGCCCAGCCACCAGAAACCTTTACCCAAATGACACCTACTTAATATATTACTTCCACTAATGATATTCATGCCCACTAATGAGAGTGTTATTATTTTCTTAATAGAGGCCATTGTTAAGTATAGAGATGTAAGGTTGATCCCAATAGAAGGGAGAAGAGTGACAATCACACATTAAACAATAACAAATAAATATAACACAAAACATAGTACTGTTATAACCAAAATACAAAATGTAACAGCACACAACATCAACTTGCCAGAGATATCACCCTGAAATAAAGCAAATTAGTAACCAATTCATCTTTTCTTTATGAGTTTCACTTTTGACGATGCACTTTCCTTGACAGACCAAAGAGTTCCTCAGCATCTTGGAATAACCCAACAATACTTAAATTACTCCATGTGCCTTATTACTTCTACAAGGGAATGCCTCTGGCTTCTGTAGGAAAAGTATCAGTACCAACATACAAGGATACTCCCCTTTTCTTGGGAGTTCCGAGAAATCAATTTGCCATTGTTGCCCTCCCTTCTAAATCATTAATTAGATTCCAATCCTCTCTAGAATATATTACAGGTTCTGACTCAGGTTAAAGATTTTCAGTTGACCGGCTGGAATTCAAAGCCCTCTTCAACTACCTGTTCTGCCACCTGACCCACCGTCTTATTTCCAGTTTCCTGTGCAGTGTTACCTTTCTGATGTCCTTTACAATGCGTAACAGCCACACTCCTTGGTAGGTTGGCATCATGCTTGTGCACCTAAAGGGCCCCAGGAAGCCTGGACGCTCCTCAAGATGGAAATCTTAAAGGCACAAGAACAGGCTGTCCCTGAGTGCCGTAAGGCGAGCCGTAGGGGAAGATGACCAGTGTGGATGAGCTGGGAATTACTGTTGAGACTCAGGGAGAAAAAGAGAGTCTACGTCCTCTGGAAGAACGGACAGGCTACTTGGGGAGATTACAAAGAAGTAGCTAAGGTATGCAGGAAGGAAGTTAGGAAGGCGAAAGCCCAACTTGAGCTCAGGTTGGCCTCTGCAGTAAAAGACAATAAAAAATCCTTTTATAAATATATCAATGGCAAAAGAAGAACCAAAGATAATTCTTATCCTATACTTGATGCAGCAGGGAATGTGGCCACTGAGGACAAGGAGAGGGCTGAGGTTCTCAATGCCTTCTTTACATCTGCCTTTAATAGCCAGATCAATTATCTTCTGGGCTTTTTATGCCCCGATCTGCAAGTCTGGGACGGTGCTCAGAATATACCCCCAAAATTCTGGTGGAGACAGTCAGAGAGGTGATTGCCGAGCCGCTCTCGGCCATCTATCAATGCTCCTGGTTAACTGGTGAGGTTCCAGAGGATTGGAGGCTTGCTGATGTGACTCCATTCTACAAGAAGGGCTGTAAGGAGGATCCGGAGAACGGTAGGACTTTTAGCCAGACCTCAGTACCAGGGAAAGTTATGAAGCAAATCATCTTGGATGAGACTGCACGGCATGTGCGCAGTGTCCAGGGGATCAGGCCCAGCCAGCACAGGTTTGTGAAAGGCAGGTTGTGCTTGACCAACCTCATCTCCTTCTATGACTGGGTGACCAGGCTGGTCGATGAGGGAAAGGCTGCTGATGTAGTCTTCCTAGACTTCAGCAAAGCCTTTGACACGGTCCCTCACAGGCTTCTTCTGGGGAAACTGGCTGCCCGTGTTCTGAACAGATAGACACTTCTTTGGGTAAGGAACTGGCTACAGGGCCGTGCCCAGCGGATCATGGTGAATGGAGTGAAGTCCAGGAGCTGACCCGTTTCAAGTGGTGTCCCCCAGGGGTTGATACTGGGGCCCATCTTGTTTAATATCTTTATTGATGACCTGGATGAAGGAACTGAATGTACCCTCAGTAAATTTGCAGATGACACCAAGCTGGGAGGTGGTGTCGATCTGCCTGAGGGTAGGGAGCCCGTCAGAGGGATTGAGACAGGCTGACCACTGGGCTGAGGTGAATGGGATGAGGTTCAACAAGGCCAAGTGTCAGGTCCTGCACTTTGGCCACAACAACCCCATGCAGCGTTACAGGCTTGGGGGTGAGTGGCTGGATGAGTGTGAAGAAGAGAAGGACCTGGGGTTCTGGTTGATGCTCGGCTGAACATGAGCTGACAGTGTGCCCAGGTGGCCAAGAGGGCCAATGGCATCCTGGCCTGCATTGGAAATAGTGTGGCCAGCAGGAGCAGGGAGGTGATCATCCCCCTCCTGTCCAGGCAGTTATTCCAGCCCTTTGAGGGAAAGTCCCCTCAGGTAATGGTCTTGCTTCAATTACCTTGTCAGTTGCAGCTACTGCATATTTTGCCTTACAGTTTTCTTTTCTCACAAAACTGCTACCATCGGTAAACCAGGTGTCTTCTGTGTCTTCTAAGGGTTTGTTCTTCAGGTCCGACTGGCTGGAAGATGCAGCTTCAGTTGTTCCAAAGCTGTTACAAAATACTGGTTGTCCAGGAGTTCCGCTAACGAAGATACTGGGTTGCAATTATTTCTACGTCATCCTGCTCTACCAGGATGGCCTGGGATTTCAGGAACCTTTGGAGTGAGAGCCAGTGCCTCCCTTTTTACCTCCAATACAGCAGACACTGTATGAGGTATAAAAGCTGTTGTTCTTTGGCCTAGCAACACCTGAGTACTGGTGTAGCCACTGCCCTCAAGCATCCCGGCCACCCCTTACTCACTTCATCCAGCTATTTGGAGAGGTGTGCCACTGCCGAAGGTTCTGGGCAAGGACTCCCAGGGCCATTCCTTGTTTTATTATGTGAGCATTTCTGGTAGCCCCAAAGCAGAGGGCCTTCATGAGTTCTTATTTCAGTTTAGGGAATGCCCACCTTGCCTTCCCATTTCTTGTAATATTTTGGCTTCACCAACAGTCCCTAGCTGTGCACCCACGGTCGGCACCATCCTGTCATTCCTACGGAGTTCCTTGGCAGTCTGTGACTCAGGGGGCTGGCAGATGGCTTCTTTCCTGGCAGTCCTTAAGGGTTGAAGTCCAGCTGTAATCTCATATCCCAGGTATGTCTTTCTGTTGAGAAACTTGATCATCATTTCAACAAGAAATTCAGCAAACTCACCGTCCAT